AAGTGAGGCAATGTCGCTCCGTTCCTCTGCCGCACCACTCATTTTCCTCACTTTTATTCACCATTTTATTCACCAACGCCAGAGAAAATTCGAGGACAGAACGTGGAATGCAGGAGAGGCGTTTGATGATTATTATCATGAAAAACTTATATTGATTAATCAGGTACCAATTGATGATAACGATTTAATAGAATATTTAATTGATGGTATAGGAGATGTCACGTTGCAGAATCAGGCATGTATTCAGCATTACGAGACGACCGGAGCATTGTTGATGGCATTTAGAGGGGTCACGATACGACAAGAGACGAAGGATCGAACGAAGCGGAGTTTTGCTGGAGAAAAATGGAAATCAACGCGAAAACCTAAATGGTTTCCGCGTTGATTTCCATTTTTCTCCAGCGAAACAACAGAGTGGACGACAGGTGACAGAAATAAGATGTTACAACTGCAATCAAGTAGGACCTATTTCGCGAGAATGTCAACGACCTAAGCGGGAAAGAAGTATGTGTTACAACTGCGGCGAAAGAGGCAATTATAACACGTACTTCTTTCCTGCTTAGGCCGCTTAGTATCTGCTCTACAACATTTAATAACTGCCCGAAGAAAGACGAACAGCAGGTGACGTATATATATGACGGTCCGACAGCAGAGAAAGATTTCATAAAAAATGTCATTTTTAAGATGGACGATTCTGATATTAGACAAGTTTTATGTTTAGATACTATCGGGGTTGTTAACCCGTAGTGGTCACACCTCTTAAAAATAACGTATTGGTCACACTGGGTCCAGTTAATCCGACGCAAAAAAACAGTCGCCATTTGCGTTCTACTTGATCTATTGACTACATCAACTCAAAAATTGCCTTGGGTCAGACAGACCCAGTGTGACCACTACGGGTTAACGTTACTTTTCAAAAAATAATATTTATGTAAATATACCTAGCTACATAAGAATAAATTGTTTTTTTAATTTTATAGCTTTTTTATTTTAACAATCAACAAACGTTTATATACTGACGATCTGATTACCAATGTATTATATTAATTGTAAGTTATTGTGAGAGTTCTGAATAACGAAGTCCATCTCTAAAGGTTTACCAGAATTATAACTTATTTTAACGAAATGTATATCATATGCAGATTTAACTTGACTAATTGTGTGTTAATTTATTATATTTTAAATAGCTTCCTTTACTTTCGATCTGTCAATCGCTATGTGAACAATGTACGGAGATGGAGAATTTAGATTAATCTAATAATTAGTACCTTCAAGAGTTATGATGTTGTTTCTGAAGAGGGCTCAATACAGGAGCCGAAACGTTAAGTAGTTTTTTAAGTTTAGAATTTTGTATTATTTAGAAATGTATACAGTAAGAATTTTGTAAGATGAAGTTTTTATTATATATGACTGTTACGTGTTATTTAACTTTTTAAAATTTATTTTATTGACTCTTACAATGTCCCTTTTATCTTTCGTTTATGTTTATGTCAAGAGTCTTTTACCAACTTTTATATTATTATTTTATATTTTATATTTTATTAACTATTTAATTATTGTATAATAAATTATTGTATAATTATTCTTATATTACAATATATAAAAGCGATCATAATATTAAAGGACTCCATATAATAAAATAATGTAAACAAATTTGAAAATGGCTATTAGGAGTCAACGCAGTAAGAAGTGCGCAAATTTTCGCACTTTTCGATAATGTAAAAATATGTTTAATACTAAATCTTAAAGTAGTCAAATAAAATTCTGGACGTTTCGGCTATGCATTTTAGCCATCCTCAGCAGATATGTGTTGATTCATAAAGATTCGATGAGAAACACCTCTCTCGGCCATAAAGTTTCCATACTTTTGGTAACGAATATGTAGAATCCATCAAATCCAAAAAAAACTTATTCGTAGAATTACAATAAGTTAATCACAATATTAAAAATTGCAAACAAAACTGTATTAAATTTAGAGATCATTGTCCTAAATTAAAATACTAATAGAGATATCAGTCATCTGTCAAAGTCCGATTGTATTTATTGCGCACTTCTTACTGCGTTGACTCCTAATAGCCGTTTTCAAATTTGTTTACATTACAATATATAAGTTATATAATATAATTATTGTATAATTATTGTATTATTATCCTTCGTGCACTTTTATGCATAAATAAAATTATATATAAAGGACTCTTGTTAATAAATAAATTTAAAAATGAATAAAGGGCATAAAAATCAAAAATTAAATCTAATCTTATATGTCAAATTTCTAAAAAAATTTATTATGAAGATAAAATAGAAGATTGATGTTCTTAACAATCTATAATATGATATTGACATTAAAATTATTATTTATGCATAAAACTTGTACAACAAATAAATCCGTATTAAACTGAAGATCACGTAAATTAAGCATTTCTACATATTTTTTGGTCACAAATAAACTACAATAATTATCATTTAACAACATTGATATATTCGACGGCTTCATTTTCACAAATAAAGTACATATAAATATAAATGCGTAAATTTGAAATAGTCGCGTTTTGCGCAAAAATGGATGCGAGTTTGCGATACTTTATAAATTTAGCGACTTTACCCGGTGTTTATTCGCGGGCGATCACTTGCGGGTGCCATTAAAGGAAGAAGAAGACAAAGGTGAAGTTAGAATGACACAAATAGCGCTAATAGCGCATCCCCGAATCCAGTCGAAGAAGAAGCTTTAGGGCCCTGGCACACAAAAAACTTAAGGCAGTAAGACTTAGGGTGAAGTCACACGGTAATCAGGGCTGTGTTCCGTTTCACGCAAATATGCGCATTCCCCTACAGTATACGTGACGCTCATATAAAATATATAAAATGCGCGTATATGTCTGAAACGGAACGTAGCCAAGGAGCGTGTCTAAAATTTATTTTCATTACCCGGGATTTCCCTTCCTCTCGAATTCTGATACTACGAGCCAAGGCTCCATGCGCCATTTTCAACAATTAGTTTAGAGTTGGAAACCGCGAAAAATACCGTCGCCCGGACGCGACAGTCTGTAACGTTCAATCTGAACGTGGCATAATCGTAAAAAAAAAAACATACAATTTAACTATTTCTATCTATTATTCCGCATTGTCTCTTTTGAAGATCAATCATTCCACCACGAACAAGCAATTTCACGGACGAAATTACACTGACGAAGCGCATATAACGATAAAAGCTTAATTATTATTTTATTGTCATATGCAGATCATGCTTTTTTTTCGCGGCATCTATGGCGCGAAATTTTGACGCAATATTTTAAAGAAGAAAGTGCGTAAGAGATGTAATCGATAAAAGTTTCATGAGAATCGACCAGATGATATCATAAGAGATAACTCGACAATCCGTGTAAAAAGAGTTTCGAAGTGCATAAATCCAGAAGTCTATAATTAATAACGATATATTTTTCAGTAAATTTCTGTACATTTAAAAACAACTGTAAATTTATTGTATTTAAACTACATATTTTGTGAGTTATAGACCTCGTTCATTTTTGCTTTAAATTCTATATAAATGATTAGAACATTGTTTATAATGAAGGTTGTTATTGTATATACAATACATGTATAATACAATATTACAACCGTTTCATCATGTGAGTTATTTTCATCGCACAATCTACTAAATTATTTGCTACATGCATTTAAACAAAATTTCTTTTTTTTGCATGTAAAGGATAAATTTATATGTTTATTTTAAGCGTTGTAATCTTATAATTACTCATTAGATATTCTTCGCAATATATTAAATTAATTTAAAAAGATTTTAACGATTTTATTGGCCTGTTTCACATTGCCCTGTTTTTCGAAAATGTTAGTTTTTATTGAAGTTTCTATAGGAATAGAAAAGCTTTCCGACGAAAGTAGGCTTTAATCAAGGAGTTCATAGTCGAGTGAATGAATTGATACTCCGACATTACCAACGTTTCCGAATTTAGAACAATATAACCGCGATTCTGCTGCAAAATGTATCTTCATTAGGTACCTCTTGCATGATATTAAAAAAAAAAGAGAACAAATACAAGCCAGAACAAACAATGGAGGATCGGCAATACCTCCTCTTCTCTGACGTATTATTCTTTTACGAGTAGACGAGGAAGTCTCGGGCAGTTGATAGTCGGTGCCGCCTACATCTCTCTAGAAATCCAGTTATATAAATGCGCATATATGATTTAGTCTGGAATGTATTATACAGTTTCGATGGATAGGCGAATAAAACATTCTCATTCGCGAACACAAAATTACGAAACACATTTCGCATTCCATTTAGGAATAATTGTAAGCACGGCGTCGGGTTTCTGATAAAAGTGTGCTTAGCACGAGGACCGTAATATTATAATTGAAGGAAACTACACATTAGAAACAATAATACTACATAGATTTATACATACAATACATAGAATTTACAATGGTCGTGAAATATATTGAAAATTTCTAATAGATTATACTGTTGGCAATATTGAAAAGGTTTTTGAGATTTATTATATGAAATATTCAACGAAAGATACAAATATAAAGGATATAATTATTATAACAAATTTATTACTGCTTTAATATGTTATTTACAATTACATAAAAATATAATTTTAAAAAATTTGGAGAAAAGAAAGGAAAGTACAACAAAATTCATTAAAAAAAAGAAAGAAAAGAGTTTATAGTTATTTAATATTTAAAAGTTTTACAAATTTTTATTTGATAAACTTTTGCGTCGAATAACTATTTTAAAAGAGAAAAATTTTTTCTCTACAAAAATATGAAATCATAAAGTCTTATCAGAATTTTAAAGTTGCGCGTCGTTGCACAGTCTGTATATCGAAACAGAACAAACATAACAAACTACCAGATCTAAAGGCTGAAGAACATGATTTATACTGTGAGCGTTGCGGGATTTACACAGTATGGTGTTACAGAGGCAGCTATAATGACGTAATAAAATAGTTGATATTTTTCGGTTTTGATATTTTTCAGAAATGGCTCGACATTCATCGACGTCAACGTCGCCGCCATCAGTCGTCAAGTCATATAGCTCAAAAGACGATGGCGACGATGAAGGCGACGGCGGTAGCCGAAAAGGAGAACAAAGGTTAGATTTATTTATATATATAAAATATAATATTAATATGTAGATATAATTAATATATTTATTTAATGTTTTTTTCGAATAGCCCCATAAATAGGATACAAAGTGGCTTCATAGTGCTTTGTATCCTATTAATGATGATGATAGGATTATTTTCGTACGTACTATGGATGATGGTAATTAATTAAAGGTAAAAAGAATAATATTATAGGTGTTTTTGAAAGCAGATAGGTAATTAGATAAACTGATATAAATTATAGGTATAGGTACAGATAGGGGATATATGGACGGACATGGAATGAAAAGGATGAAGAAATGTTTGTGATTGTATGAGTGTCAGAAAACATGAGAA